GTTCTGATCGCCTGGCTAGACTTCCAGAGTAGCGTGTGCAGTTGGACTTCCCTGGACGCTGCTTGAATGAAACCACATCCTTGTATCACCTTCGTGAATTAAAGCCTCACAGTGAAGGAGAATCATCACTTCATGTGTTTTTTCCCAATTATCATTATTTAAACACATGCCTTGTTTCTGTAGTCTAAATTCAGATTAGAACTGAACCATTTTCCTTTGTTATGTCTTTACTGGTTTGAACCTTCTTGCCTTTGCTCACCGTTCTTCTAACTCTTACTGCTCACTTTGCTTCTTTTGAACCTCGAACTGTGCGGCATGTTTTCTAATCCTGATAGGCTCTACCTTCCCCCTTTTTTTCAGTATCCTTGTTGAGCCTTAGCCACTAGAACTTGTCATAATTCAGATAATGAGGTCACATCACGAACAGAGGTGTTCAGCTTCTGCTGAAACAGTAATTCCCTTTTCCAGTTTGTTTTCCTTTGCACTGATTGACCTTCAGAGCAAACTGGGTTTCCTCACTTAGTGCTGCTGACAGTCATACGAGTGTGTGACTGTAAGGCTCAGACTTCGTATCCCTTGTGCTGGACTCTGTGTAGATGTGACACAAAAAGCTGCTGATAGGGTGCATAGCGAAGTGAGTGGGAAGATGTGAAGAAGTGTGCTGGGTGCAAAAGCAGTAGACTCCCCAAGTTGTCTCTGAAATTAGGTATATTCAGTAAAGCTGGGTTGTTTTTCTTGATTATTTATTTGATTGAGGTTCATAAAGATCAGCCTAGTAATTGGCAGTGTGTTTTTGAAGAAGAGCTGTAAAATAAAGTTTGCTTCTTTTTATGCCCTAAAGAATATCCAGTAGAACTGGGGCTTGTGCAGAGGCTGTGTAGGTGGTTTTGAAATTGATTTAAAAGGATCAAATGTACCTGAATTTCAAACTGATTATTTTCTAAGGCTGTTCTTGCCCTGTCTGTAGTGAGTCATTTGTCAACAGATTGATTCAGTGCACTATTGACTCTCAGGAAACTTTTAGCCTTCCTCGTTAAGTAGGGAAGGAAGATTGTGCTTACAGCCAAGCTTTTTTCCCAAATGCTGATGTTTGTTGGTTAAGTATACAGTCCTTCCCAGATTTGGCATGATATTCTGCATTACATTATTAAACAGTGCTAAACATGCTGGGGAGCTCCTTGGGATTCCTTGTATCTTCAGTTCTTACTAAAATGTCCGTATTAATTTTTCAGTCTTCTTCCAAACTGGAGCAATGGAGGCATATTTTTCAAATTGCATATGCTACAGTTCTTCTTCTAGAGGGTCCTTTTACAACTGGTTAGAATTACTCTCCAGCCGCTTTAAAAAAACAAAACAAAACAAAACATTTTTTTATTTGGTTTAGAAAACTTTTCTCTTGTGCTTATGAACAGCGAAACAGCCCCGAATGCTGGTGATACAAACACTGCATAGCTCTTCTCTGGCCTCACAGCTTTGCTGTCGGTAGCAGTTTAATGTATCTTGGTCTCTCTTTCCAGCGGTTTGTTAGGAAGCAGTTAGAGCTCAGATTAATCTGTCCAGAGAGCAATCTGAGAAGAACTGTAATGGAATTGCATATGCAGGATGATACAATAAGTAAGTTACAAGTTAATGTTACCAGTATGTTTAACTGGGGACACCACTACATGCAGCTTTTGAATGCTTAGGTGGATGTGGTACGAGGTAAATATTAAGCCTTGGATCCCGAACAAGGATCATGGTGGTTTTTCTCACAGCTATGCAAAACAGTTTGCTTGTGCATGTGGGTAATGATGCACCTATATATTAAACTTAGGCCTCAGTTCCTGTCTTCAGTGCTGGAATTAATGTGTCAGTGTGAGCTGAGGAAGTTGGAAGTCATATTGTAGACTTTTACTCTGTCTCTTTTTTTTTTTTTTTTGTTCCCTCCATAGCTAAAGAAAAAGAAATCTCTGTTAAGCTCCAAATAGGTTACATTTATGTCTAAAAGATGTTTGTTTCTTAGGAAAAGAATAGTTCTTCAGAAGTCCAAACCTCTGCTGTTCTTGTGAGGGCATGTTTTTATTGAATCACTATTTTGTTTTGTTTTTTGTGTTATGTAGCAAGGCTTGTGGTCAGGAATTTTGTCTCTCTGGAGCTTTAACAAGAGAGCCATTTCTTCAGTACTTGCAACTGCTCAATGGACAAATGAGCGTTACTGGATCTTCTGGAATTGCTTCACAGTTTGACGTATACTCACTATTTCCATGTCAAATTTTGTTCAAAAATATTGCTGTAACAGCTACAACAGTTTCAAGAGACCTCAAGCTGAGTTAGTTCCTTAAAAGCATTTGCCAGTATGTCGAGGGAAGGGGTGAATAGTGTGGTAAACGTCCCAAGGGTACTGTATTTCTGGCTATACCGGTGAAAAATAGGTTGGGTTTTTCTGCATGCCGGAATGGTGCAAGTGTTAACCTTTAGATTGGGATAAGAGATGTGCAGATAGCAGGCTTGGGCCTTTGGGTTGGTAAGCCAAATTTTACATGTGCCTGAAAGAACTGATACATCAAAATTGAGGGTGTAGTTTGGGACCATCCCCCCCAAGCAGGGCATTTATTCGTTAGCAGTTTAAGAATCGCATGTAGCATTACAAGGTGTGTTTATGTAACCTAATTTAACAAGTCTTACTGCAGTTAGGATTTGGTGAACTAGTATTGGAGTGACCTCTGGGATCTTTAGTTAGCGCTGCAAGTTGGTGAGGGGCAATGATACTGTACTTGATTGAAAGCCTCATTGTTGAACGTGTGTTAGTACTTTTGTTTGTCTTAAATCCTGGTAAAATGGCTTGGGTAGGTGTCCTTGTTTCTTCCAGAAATGATCTCATTGATTATTGATAACGTGTCCACCCTCAGTTTTGGGTGTGGAATACTAGGCAAAATTTAATCATCTTATTTTTGATTGTGGAAAATCATGTTTCAGGTTTTAAAGAACCGTTAGACAGCTGTGTAGCAGAAGAGGAGAGCGCTTAACCGTGACTGTAGCTTTTAAATACACCAGGCTGGATGTTCTTTCACTGCCAGAGAGAATATAGCTTCAGAAGCAACTCTGATCCCTCTGAATTACAGAGACATGGCACTATTTTATCTGAGGAGTACCTTTCCTTGCAAACTTGCGCTGTTTTTTAAAGTTTTTTAAAGGACTTCCTCCCCCCCGTGAAGTGGATGACTAAAAGGGAACGTTAATTTCTGGCAATTGACATTATTAGGTCAAAGTATTTTTGAAGTGGTTTTTTTGTAGGTTCTGCTGTTAAAATAACAAGCTTGCTGTGCTGTAGAATCAGTGTCATGTGCTTTTATAAGAAGAGCCGACCAAGACTCAGTTTCTGGCAGGAGGTGTTCTCACGTGCTTTGTTTTGAATACTAATTCATCGCCTTCCAGTGTTGGTGGAGGAAAAGGTGAACCAGAAACAAGATGCTTATCAATAGCAGGTTTTTAAGAAATTAATAAAACTGAAAGGAATATTAACATTTTTGTCAAATCTGTGTTTGTAACCAAGCACCTCTAAATAACATGTTCTCTTGGCCTTAGTTTTGCTTACACAGTGAGGGTGGCTGCACTCCTCACATCAGAGTTCCTGGTGGCCCTGAACCCCACTTAGGTAGCACGGGGGGTCTTGCTGTGGGTGTGAATGGGCCCCTCTTGGACTGTGGGTGTTTGAACGCCTTGACGTGGGGACTACGAGGTGGGGGTTTCTGAGTCACTGTTCAGAGTGTTCCCCGTGGTATGAAACTTGAGTGTGTAACCTCGTGTGAGTCTGTTGGCAAACTGTGTTTTCCGAGCCCTGGGTGGCTTGGCACAGACACCACAGAAGAGCGGAGACTGGAACAGCCTGCGTCGAAAGATGCAGCTTCTAGAGAGAAGTGCCTGTGAGACATGAGCTACCTCTTCCCCATGGATTTACTGCCTCACAGAAAGATTTCTTGTAAGAAAAAAGGGGGGGGGTGTTTCTAGAACACCTGAAATGACCCCAAATAACAAGCGGTTGTACTGCAGCAGTCCTGTGGGATCCAGTGCTGTGCCTCTAGCAGAGGCTGGCGATGGCACGTATGGCTACAGCAAGTGTGCAGCGGTTCTTCCTCGGGCTGTGTGCCCTGCTCTGCCCGTGCTGCTCCAGGGGCTCCACGGCAGCAGGCATGAACAGCCCGCAGTGGAGCTTTCTGCCGTGTATTTGTACAGTCGCTTTCGTACCTATGTAAATTCTTGGTATTTATAGCAGAAAGCTATAGAAAGCTCTGCTGCTTAACTGTGCATTGCGTAGAGGCCTGTCTCCAGGGCTTGTTGTTTATGAGCCAGTCACCTGATGTATTTACTTATCTGCAGACACAAATCGGTTTGGACATAAAAGTAGCCATTGATTTTAATAAATACATGAGCAGGTTCACTCAAGTGTTCCCATCTACTCACTGCAGGAATTACTTGTGTCAGCTCAGGTATTACTGGGGCCAGGGCTCACGCCTCTCTTTACCTCTGGGTGTTGGTGAGTCACCCCTTGCAGAACCTGTGGGTTTGAGGGTTATTTATAAACGTCAATATAGAATATAAAATCTGTTTGCACTGCTGTATGTTAGATTTTCTGTCATTTCAGAAATGTTTTCAAAGCATTTGGTATCAAAGAAGCCATTGATTGTATTTTTTTGTGAACTTCAGGAAGCTTTTGGTTTTGTCTTGGCTTTTTAGCTTAGGTGTTGCAGTGTTTTGTGATGGAGGTGGACATAGTAGATGCTCGAAAAAAACATTTCTAGATAAAAACAGCTTGAAAACACCTGTGGAGCTCCTGTAGCTTGTGTGCTCAGTTTTTAAACACTGAAGTTGTGCTCCTGTGGGAAGATAGTGGAACTCTTGCTTCCGAGTCTGCGGTATTTCAGTGCTTTCACGTCTAGGTTTCGTCTTTTACCATTAAGCTAAATTTCCCAGAACAACTCAGTCTTAAATTTTAAAATTTATTTATATTTTTCCTTCAGCTTTACCAACAGGGCCGCTTATGCCAACTGGGTAGTGAATTTTGTGAACTAGAAGTTTTTGCAAAGGTGCTACGAGCTTTAGATAAAAGGTAGGTGTCTTAATATATCAATAATTCTCATTTCAGCTCTTACCTCCTGTTCTAGGTTTTGAATTTGGAAGATGTCTCTAATTTTCTTAGTTTTACTAGCTCACCTAATAACTGTAAGAGTATCTCGTTAGATTTACAGATGAACTTTTAAGTTACAATGGTCTTTGTCTCAAAAAAATAAACCAATCAGAACTTCTGTGTCGATGTACCAGCTTGGTTCCCAAAGTGCTTTCTTCATTACTGCTGTGCAGCCAGTTGTCGTGGTTTAACCTGGGTAGGCAGCTGAGCACCGCGCAGCCGCTCGCTCATGCACCCAGTGGGAAGGGGGAGAGAACTGGAAGAGTAAAAGTGCGGAAACTCCTGAGTTGACATAAAGACAATTTAATAATTAAAGAAGAAAAAAAAAAAAAGAGGAAAAAGAAAACAAGGGGGCGGGGGGGAAACCCACAAACAAGCAAAACAAGTGATGCAGAACAGCCCAGTCGCTCACTGTCTGCAGGTCAATGCCCGGCCAGTCGCTGAGCAGTGGCGGTCACAAGTACCTGTTTCTTGCTCTTGGAGCAAATCCAAAGTGAAAGGTTATCAAGCTGATGGGTTCGCCCCAGTTTAAAGAGTTTTCCTGTCATTAAATATTCCAATCTGTGGTGTTATGCTCAGAAGTTGACTTTTTTAGATCAGATTCAAAGCTCATTCTGGTTACAAAGAGCCTTTAGACGTACCTCCCTCCCATTGTTTGCGTGCGTGTGATGTTAATGGCTTCGTCATTGCTCATTTGTCTGCAGTTTCTGTGGGAGTCGTGGGGTGAGGATAGATTTGAGGCTTCCCCCCTCTAAGTTTTAGCTGAAATTGTTGTTTTCCGGTTTTAACACCGTGTGGGTAGCTCATATTTTGCTTACACGGGAGGGTGTCCTTGTGAAGAACTCTGTGTACGCTCCCTTTATTTGTTGGGTCATCCAGCAACTGTAATCCATTAGCCTTGAGACTGACAATTGCGCTTGTGTTCATCTGGTTTTGGTTTGAGAGAGGGTTGGAGTTATTTCTCTGGATCACTACCCATTTGAATTCATGGCACTCAAGAGCCAACTGACTGTGGTGTTTTAAAAACTCCATGTGTAATCAAATTCTGTTTTCTTTTGTTCCAGACATCTGCTTCATCACTGTTTTCAGGCTTTGATGGACCATGGAGTAAAAGTTGCTTCTGTACTGGCCTATTCTTTCAGCAGACGGTGCTCCTACATAGCAGAGTCGGATTCTGCTGTGAAAGAAAAAGCAATCCAGATTGGTTTTGTTTTAGGTAACTGGCGATGATAGGCTGTTTAAAGTGTGGTACTTTCTTTCATACAAGCTTCAGTTAAGATGATGCTAATTTTTTTTTTCATGTTAGAAAGAAATCACAGAGATTAAAGAACATGTGTGGGGTTTTTGGAATGTAATTAGAAAACTACTCAGTGTCTTAAGGAAAATATATTGGGGTTTAATATCTGAGCATATGTAGGCTTGTCCTTGCTATTTCAAATATTTTAGACTTAAAATTTGTTTGCAGATGTGATGCTTAACATTAAGACTTTGCATAATTTTAGTATTGGTAAGTATTTCTTGAAAGAAAACTGTAGGAAAACTATGTAATACCAAGAAGTCACCCTCAACTGAAGGAGAATTCTTCTGCTGTTATATTTCACGCCTTTCAATTCAGGACTGGCGGGTTTAATTCCCATAGGTAGTGTGCAGTTCTCTGAAGTTAGTAGTAGTCTTGCAAGTCCCGAGCAAAGCCTTTTTCTCTTAAAAAGATGTTCTGCTGTTTAAACTTCTGTTTGTTCTTGATTTTTTTTGTTTGTTTGTTTGTTTTTCCCCCCCAGGGGGGTTCCTGTCGGATGCAGGCTGGTACAGTGATGCCGAGAAGGTATTTCTTTCCTGCCTTCAGTTGTGCACCCTTCATGATGAAATCCTTCATTGGTTTCGTGCCGTAGAATGTTGTGTAAGGTGAGCTCGCCTTTAATGCCTCTGTGTCGTGCTGTGAAATACACATTAATGTGTTACCAACCACCTTGGAGCCATCAAGCTTCAGACGCTCCCTTTAGTGTTGTGCTGCACCAAAGTGCTCTCCTGGCTAGAGCTGACGATCAGAAGGTGCTCGTTTTACACGACTCCTGGGTTTTCATCTTGTAAACTGGCAGCCCAGTTCAACGGGAAACCCCACGGCTTTGCCTTTCTGCGTGACGTACCGTAGGTGATGGGAGCTGGCCTATAAGAGCAGTCCAGCACCTTGTGCTTTTCAGGAGTTTTGCGTGTGAAGGAGTGTGATGTGTTGGTGTTTCCTGAAACTGTAGTTACCACGAGGAGAATCTGCCAAATCCAAACACAAATTATATAAATAAAGTCGAGCAGAAACAAAAGGAAAACATACCTTTCCTGATTCCTGATCCGATGATTTCTCGTGCTCCGTGCTGAGCTACTTACCTATGTGATCAGGTAAACACTGGGATGTCCAGTTCTTGTGGACACCTTCACAGGCTTGAACACTGGGGAAAGAATTGGCCTTTGGGCTTTGTACCTGCCTTGTTTCTCAAGGTCCGTGGGGTCCGTTGAGATCCAAGTTGTGTTCACAGAGGCCTCGGAGATTATCACTTTCAGTCTTTTAGTTGCTCTGCTCCTACACCTGTGTGCAGACGTGTGCTATGCTGATGCAGTCTGCAGCAAGTAGCCGGGTTGTTTCTGTTGGCAACACCAAGACTGACCTCTTTTGCATGCTACAGGTATGCACTTAAACACGTGTGTGCTAGTGAGCGTAGTCAAAACAGGAGATTTTTTTTCCTTTGGCTGCTGTAACGAACAACAAAGTATGTGCTGTATTTATCTGAACATAGGGCAAAACTTGTTTTGGAAAACTGCTCCCCAAAAGCCCTGCATCTTGTTTATGGTTGGGCAAATATGAAGAGTAAATAGGCTTTGCCAGGAGCTGCTTATTTGATGTGCCAACCGGAGGGCCATGGCAACGGCTGCTGCTCTGCCTTGTTCTGCTCAGCCAGCTCCCACTGGCTTTCGTTCCAGAAATGAGAGGATGCCAGGAGAAGGCTGGGCATGAACACACGCTTTCCTAGAACTGGGGAATGACAGATATAGCACCACTGCTAGAACTTAGTCCTTTGCCTTCTAATTAATCTAAAAAAGTTTCCTAGTTGAATCGGTCTGTTTGGCAAGCTGAGGAAGTTGCCTTAAAAATAAATTCCCTCCCCTTCTCCAAACAGGAAAAAAGAAGAGAAGGTAAAGGAAGGGAAAAATGTTAACTCTGTCCGGACAGCAGTGTACAGCCCACACAGCTGTGGAAAGATTTTCATTTTATGCTAGAAAAAACCCTCCTGTGATAGAAGGAACTCTTCTGGACTGGAGATGTTGATTCTGTTTGGGTGGAGACAGACGTTGTTCTTGTAATGGAAGCTGGTGGCCTGTGTGTAACATAACGTCCCTCTGGGCAGCGGTGTGAGTGAGGAGACACTGCTTTCTATTCAGGCAGCTCCCAGACTATCAAATGGCAGCATGGCTTATTTGGAAATGTGTCAAATAGAAAGAATTTGAAACACTTTCAGATGTGCTAAGTATGTAAAATCTACCCACCTTTTTGTGGGAGAGCACGGTAATTACACTCGGCTTAGAAGTCAGGAGGCAGTAGGATAAACTTTTTGTTGTCACCATCTCAACCCGCTGTAGAATATCGTGTTCTCACCACTGTGCGGGCACTGGCGTTAGGTGGAGTTTTAAGAGAACAAAATTTAAGTCCAGCTTTTGAAAATATGACATTTTGAAAAAAAAAAAAAAGTGGCTGCTGTTATTCTGAAAGCTGGAAAGCCTCATCTCGGGGAGTTTAATACATTGAATTATTAACAGTGCGATTTAAAAACATGTAAAGTTTTCTGTTATTTAGACATAATTTCACGTTTCTTTGTACTAGCGGTAGTCGATTATATGGAGAAACTCAAGGAAAATGTGAAGACTTGAGATTTCTGCAAGCTCGTGTACTGCTTTCCTGCATGTGCTGTGCTCCTTTTGGGTTGTTTTCTGTCATTATTGGATGTTAAACAATAAGGCACAAATAGACACATGTGGCTCTCTGGCTTCATTGTTTCACATTTTGCCGATTCTTGGCGTTTTCTCTGATGTTTTTAGACTTCCTAGGCTGCTGTGTAACATTGTGTTTGCTACGTTTGTATGCTCTTAAGAGAATGATTTCATGAGGGGGGAAGTTACTCCCCAAGCGCTATTACTGCAGACATCAAAGGAGATTCCTAGCTATTAGCATAAATGACCTAAGGCGGTTTTTCTTCCTCTTGGCTTTATCTTCTAAAATTCCTTTGGATTAATAAAGGATTTTTTTGTTACTCAAAACTGGATCACATAAACTCTGCTTATCCTAGAGGACTGGGTTAGGTTTAGCTTGTTTTTTGGTCGATTTCCTTGTTTTTAGACGCTATCGCTGAAGCATCCAGGTATTGGATATGATCTTTCCCAGGCACTTATCTGAATTGCAGCACGATCCCTACCGGCTCATACCATTACGTGGGATTTGGGCTTCATATTTTTGATGTTGCACAGCAGCTCCTGGTTGCATGGTGTAGGCAAACAGTTTCCCTCTTCAGGGAGACTGTAATTGCTTAGTTTTTCTCTCTAGTTTCTTTAAAATTTCTGCCTCTTGTTGTTTGAATGTTAGGTCGTTTTCTGCTGCCTGTGACCAAGAACACAAAGCACTTCTACACGACACTTTGTTCTCAGACCTTATTTAAGGGAAAATATTACTGTGGCTTGCTTGCTTTCTGCTCTCGAGCCACCTTGCTGTGTTTCTCATTGGAAAGCTGGTGTTTATGTAGCTTGTTTCAGGGTGTTTTTTTTTTTAAAGGTCTTTTCTTTTGATCTTCCCTTTGCGTGGCTAATGCACATCTGCTGTGCGCTCGCCTGCCGCTCCCTTCTTGTGAAAATGTGAGCTTTGTTTCCTTCTTGTTAGTGTTTGTGTTTTGATGACGATACGTTTCAGTAGGAAGGTGCAGGAAGAGGCTCTGTGAGAGGCAGGCTGACGTTACTGGGCCAACTTCGTAGTTTGCCGTTGCAGGAGGCATGGCTGCAGTAACTGAACTCTCTGCTTGGAGTAAATGGGAACAAGAAACGGGTTTAGAGAAGAGAAACTCTTGATCAAAACTCTGGCTTCCTTCCTCCCCCCTTAACAGTTTCTGGGAGATCTATCATCGTGTATCACAAGAGGTATAAAACGCTGTGCCTCCACAGTGAGCTCACCTTCCCAGGGCTGTAGCCTCTCTGCAGTACGGCGTTGCATTCGGCTTCGCTTTGCTTTGTGTATTCCTCCTCCTGCGTTACGTTGTCCTCCTGATTTGCAAAGGCTTGCCTGATGGGTTTCAAACTCTGTAACTCCTTGTCTGCTCCCAGATTTCCAGGGGGAACAGGGGAGGCTGATTTACCAAAACTTCGTGTGCTAAACGGGAGGCATTGGCGCTAGCGAAGGGACAGCTGTCTCCTCTTTGCCTGCAGTGGTGGGAGTACAGTTCTGCCCTTCAGGCGCGCGGTGCCTCACACACACATTTCTCATGTGCCTCTTTAAAGTAAATAAGCATCAGCCTACAGTGGGGAGAAAAAATTCTTTACTTTTGTTTTAAATAGATGCCAAAAGCTGAAATTGTTACTTCTCTAGAGAAACAAGAGTGTGCTTCGGTGGTGCCGTGCTTTGTCTGCGTTTGGCTGTTGTTTCATGAAGCTTCTATTGAGCCTTCAGATGGAAAGGCAGCGGGTTCAGTGACGGGGCAAGGCGCGGGGAGAGGGATTTAGAGCTGATGTGAACTGGGTCAGCAAAGTAGTCCTTTCTGGTGGTGCTAAGTCAGGGCTGGATATCGTGTCGAATGGATGTAATTGAATCCCTTGTGCAGACACCCCCCTTCTCCACCTCCTAAACCCCCAAACCACAAAAAGCCCGCTCGTGAAGCCCTGTGCTGCTTAGGGTTTGAGGAAAAAGCACAGAGCTGTGTGAAAGCCAGCTGTGCCTGTGCTGCCTCGGTGTCTGTTTCAGTTTAACCATCCTTTGGAAAGGAGGTAGAAGGGATTTAATACGGTATATTGCTGGGTTTTGGAAATGGAATTCTATCAGCGTTGAGAAGAGTGGATTTTATGAAAAATAAAACCCAAAGCCACCACACCGCGGTGGTTCAAACGCTGGATATATAAACCTGCATCAATGCGTAAAATCATTGGACATCTCCAACAGTGAAAAATCTTGCCACGCCAGAGACAAAGCGTGGTGTGCTGAAACCATGCTCTGTAACTAGGCCTCTGTGTCTCTGAGTTCAAACAGTGCAGTCTTGTGGGGTGACAGCCCACTCCTGTGGTAAGTACAGCACCAAGTTGTATTTTTGAGTACTGCTGTATATTGAAATGATTTGTTTGGACACCGTGTAGAAGGTCTGTTTGCATCTTCCTAAGGTTGCTGCACGTTCGAAACGGTAACTGTAAATATCACTTGGGAGAAGAAACGTTCAAACTCGCTCAGTCTTACATGGACAAGCTTGCAAAGCACGGTCAGCAAGCCAACAAAGCGGCGCTCTACGGGGAGCTGTGCGCGCTGCTCTTTGCCAAGAGCCACTATGATGAGGTGAGTGGAGTTTTGGTGGTGGTTTTCTTCAGGAAACTGGTTCTGACGCCTGCTCGGATGTTCCGTGACGGGCTTGTTATTCACCTTCTCTTTCTAGCTGGAGTTCCTGGTCTTTTTTTGGTGCCTGTGTGGCGGTACCAGAAGGCTTGATTTACTGAATTTTCTGCGTCTTGTTCTGAGTTCATGTACAAGCTCTTAATGATACTTTGACCAACATTAAGAAACAAAGCCTGGTAGATTGGTGGTATGAGTTGGTCATCTGTAAATGAGGTATTATTAAAAGCTTATTTTAGTAGGTAAAAGTGGATAGCAAAGCACAGGTGACAGTTCTTTGCACTTGCTTTATAAAAACTGTGTCATAAGTGTAACTGGTATAGAAACGGTGGTTTTCCCTTGGCTCCTGAGTACGCTGACTAGTTGTCCTACACAACAGGAACTGTGAGGATTACTTAGATTATAAAATAACCTTTTTTGTCTGTAAAAATCATTGTAATAATACATGCCTTAGGCTAGTATAAAATACTTAGACATTCAGTATTAACCTTGAGGGCTTTTTAAGTCTGTCTTTTAAGACTTAGGCGAACAAGTTCCATTACAATAAGCAATTAAACAATTTCTTAAATTTTGTGATGTAAATGACCAGTTTATTCTTCAGAGCCAAGTAATGCTTTTCTTAATGTCGCGATGTAGTGAAGCTCCAGCTTCGTTATGTTGGTACTTTGTTCAACAGGCGTATAAATGGTGTATAGAAGCTATGAAGGAGATCACAGTCGGCCTCCCTGTAAAAGTCGTAGTGGATGTTTTACGACAAGCTTCAAAGGTGAATTTAAAATCTCCCGTGTTTCTCTTGTAGCTGAGTTGTTACCAAGAATGGGTGAGGGTAGGTAGTACCTCCAGCGTACCTGGGTAGCCCAGACCGTTTCATGAGCCCTGTGGCTTGTTATTTGTGTTTAGTTCCATCTCAGTCTCAGACCTGTGGGGGGTTTGGGTTTTCTCCTTCTTCCCGAAATGGTTGCAGCTGTTCAGACAGACATCATGACAGAGCTAACCCGCGAGCATTCCACACAGAGGTGGTGGTTCCCCTGTTTGGTCTAGCCTAGGTACAGTACTAGCCCTTTAGGCGTTTATGGCAGAATAAAATACAAGTCTATTAATGTTATCTGTGAACCTTTTCTTAAATAACTGAAAAGTCCTCTAGTAACTGGGATGGTATTTTGAAATGGAAAACAGTAGTTAGCAATTGGGCCGGGATCTGGAGGAGATGAGTTCTGAGTGTACACCTTCTCATAGGCCTCCTTTCAACCTGTTTAGGCTTGCGTTGTAAAGCGGGAGTTTAAGAAGGCTGAACAGCTGATAAAACATGCAGTATACCTTGCCCGGTAAGTAGCATTCAAAAATAAAACCCAAACCCTTTTAAAGTGTTGCTTAACTTGCCTCAATTTGTAATACAAGTGTGTTTCTACAGGGAGCATTTTGGAGCCAAGCACCCCAAATACTCTGACACGCTACTAGACTACGGATTTTACTTGCTCAACGTAGACAATATATGCCAATCTGTTGCCATCTATCAGGTATGCGGCAGGGCGAAACGTCTGTCTCCAGCTTATCTTGATACTCCTGATCTCCTAAATGTTTCTGTTGAAACTCACATACTTGTAACTTGTGGATGATAGATCCAAACCCACCCCAGCTGTGGGGTTTCGCCTCTCCCCCCCCTCAACTCTTAAGTGGCTTTTATATATTCACTGCCTCAGGTATGTAGGTCCAGGCCTACAGAATCTCAGAGCCAGTAGATTTACTTATTTTCCCCTCCTAAGAGTGGGAGAGATTCATTAAGGGGTTTTCGGTATTAACTGATAAAATGGTGTTCCCGTGACTCTTTCAGACAGCGCTTGATATCCGGCAGTCGGTGTTTGGAGGTAAAAACATACATGTAGCTACAGCTCACGAAGACTTGGCTTACTCTTCGTATGTTCACCAGTACAGCTCTGGAAAATTTGACAATGCACTGTGAGTACGGCTGTGTGAGGTACTGGCAGCAAATTTGGTACCACAAATGGAGAAAAACATTCTTAAATGATACAGACTTTCTAACTAGGATTGAAATGCATCTGTGTTTTGCATTAATGTGTCTAATATTTTATCAGTCAGCTGCTAACTTAAATATACATTTCTTAAATTTTTTGTTTAAACTTTCAGATTCCATGCTGAACGTGCTATTGGCATTATAACTCACATTCTCCCGGAAGACCACCTTCTCTTGGCGTCTTCCAAGAGAGTTAAAGGTAGTGCCCTCAACTGCAGTGCTGGGGCGGTTTGGAATCAGTCACTCGGATGTGTTCAGCCTGATCCCTAGCAGAGGCAGTGTGACTTGAGGTTCCTTTTAAAGTGGGGGGGGACCCGAGACTATCCCTTGCAGTTCTGTCCTCTGTTAACACACTTGTAAAATAACAAAAAAACCTTATGTAAAACTTAGCTGGAAGGCTTTTTTTGGGGGAGGTGGGGGAAGGGGAGGAAAGTAAAACTACAGAATATAAGACTATGTATTGGGAAGTACATATTGAAAACAGGAAGCCTGATGAGATGTCTTGTGTAGACTGCTTTCTGCTGCCTGCAGTCAACATCTTGGTGTTTGGAACACAGTAATGTCGTGTTTCTCTCCCACACTCAGCACTTATCCTGGAGGAGATTGCAATAGACTGTCACAACAAGGAAACTGAGCAGAGGTTACTTCAAGAAGCTCACGACTTGCATCTGTCCTCACTCCAGTTAGCTAAAAAAGCCTTCGGGGAGTTTAATGTACAAACAGCAAAACACTATGGCAACCTTGGAAGGCTCTATCAGTCCATGAGGAAGTTTAAGGTAAGATTATATTGATGGAAAGGTCTTGACTTAAAAAATCTGCCAGACGTCTGCAAATCTGTCACAGCAAATGACAGTGTCCACAATCCGTAAGTTCAGTTGGTAGTTTTGTGGTTGGGAAACTTGTACTTTATTGTTCATCTCTCCAAAGCTTTGTGCAACAACAGTCCATCAAGATGCATGATGCCTTCAGAGACGGGTGACAGCGATTTCGATGACAAAAAGTGATACTATTTGCTTAACTAAGAATTTGGAGAACTTGATCTGGTTTGGGCTTTCTTGCTTTCCGCCTCTTATAAAATGCTACTGATTATTTAGCCACTACATTTAAGAAGGTTTCTTTAAACCTTCCCTTTGTTTTTGTCTCTCTTTTTATGGCATGGTGAGTGGTGTCTGACTGACCTGTGTGAATTTGATCCTCACAGGAAGCAGAAGAAATGCACATCAAGGCAATTCAGATTAAGGAGCAGCTTCTAGGTCAAGAAGATTATGAAGTTGCCCTGTCAGTGGGTCATCTAGCTTCTCTCTATAACTATGACATGAATCAGTATGAAAACGCTGAAAAGCTTTATTTGAGATCCATAGCGATTGGTAGGTGATTCTTACAACGTGTGACACTAGCTGGTTTGATACTGCAGGGAACAGCTTGTAGGAAAGAGCTCTTACCCCTGGCAGTGTCCAAGGCCAGGCTGGATGGGGCTTGGAGCAACCTGCTCTACTGGGAGGTGTCCCTGCCCACGGCGGGGGGTTGGAACTGGATGATCTTTAAGGTCCCTTCCAACGCAAACCAGGCTGTGACTCTGTGACCTTAATGAACCGCAAGACGGTTGTTGTGTATGTGTGTTCAATGTAAATGCAGTGTTCTCTTGGGGACTGAATTCTGGGATTGCGTTGCTGTCCGGGCTCTATCAGAATTCACTCTTGAAAGCATCCGTAAACCGACTAGTAAAAAGCTTGGGTGTTAGTCTGTGACCTACTATGTTGGAGTGGTGGCTACACCTTCAGCGGAGAATGTAGTTCAGTTTTGAAAGAAATGGAAAACCGTTGTGCCAGTCAGCCTAACTATAGTCTCATTAAATATTTTTCTTGCCTGTTATCGTTTGCAGTGAACTTACGATTCCAAATCAGACGCAGCTTTGGGCCATGCTGTAGCTCAGTTTTGAGACAGGCAATCTTACTGCATGCTGTTCTGTGCAGCGCGTTACAGAAACATTTATGATTTAAGGTAGAAAACTGAAAAAAACTTTGCGGTTTAAATTGAATTCAGAGTTAATCAGGAGACAAAACGACAGCCGCCTTTTGTGTGACTGGTGGATTCTGTCCTGTGAAGCTGTGGTGCAATTAACGATCTGATCGTAGTGTCCCTGAGGACAAGTTACAGCACCTTAGAGGAGAAGGTGGGCAGAAGTCAGTCAGTCATGCGGGAGGGTTGCGTGTTGCTTGTGTTCTTGGTTTAACCGAACAAAAAGGTTCGTGTTGCTGCTAACAGTGACGTGAGAAATGCGATGCAACCTATGGGTGGATGACCTCTTAATTTTGTTTTCTTTTGGATTTGTTTAGGAAAGAAGCTTTTTGGCGAAGGATACAGTGGACTTGAATATGATTACAGAGGTCTCATTAAACTGTACAATTCCATTGGCAATTATGAGAAAGTTTTTGAATACCACAATATTTTGGCCAATTGGAACCGGTTGCGGGATCGGCAGTTCTCAGTCACAGATGCTCTGGAGGACGTAAGCACCAGCCCTCAATCCACTGAGGAAGTGGTCCAGTCTTTTCTGATGTCTCAGAACGTTGATGGACAGAGTAGCTAAGAACTTGGTCAATTAACCAGTTACGGTTTTTTCCCCCAGATTACAGGGGGAAAAGTCATACTGTGAAATCTAAACCATGTAGTTCTCTGGGGGCTGGAATTTGCATTGAAACACTGGTCCAGTCTACTGAAGAGTGCCCATACGGATGAATGTGTGTTAAATTCTTATCAGCATGTGTCTGGCATGTTTAGTTCGGCTCACACTTTTAACTCGGTATTCCCGAAAACCCCTTCTTTCTCTCTTCTTTCGAAAGAAGCTCCTTTGCAGAAAGTCTGCAAGAAAACGTTAAATAAAACTGTTTGAGTTCAAAAGAGTTGCATTCTTATTACGAATGGAAGGTTTCATCAAGAGCTTTCTTCTGATGTATAGAAAGAATAAGTGCTGTACTATGAGAAGTTGGACGCGAAAGGTCTTTCTGCTGTGTGCGTTGTAGCGAAGGTGGTCGTAAATAGCGAGAACAGGGCGCGTGCCCCAGCCTTGGCCGCTGCCTTACGGAGCGGCGTGGCACGGAGCTGCTCTGGAGAGCAACGTGGTCTGTGTGACCCGCCATAGGCTGTTGAGCGAGTAACCACCGTGTGTTGGTTTTGATACCCTGAACTGGACCAGTGTTCATCTAGGAGCGATAGAAGACCCAGTAGACCAGCGATCTTGGCTTTCCTTGGTGCCGACCAAGAGTGCTCATCTTCTGAACAGGACCAGGAAAATCGGAAGTGGACCAGCCTGCTAGAAACAGTTTTTGGACCAGTGGCTTTAATTTAATATTTCTGCCCCTGCCTTCACTTTTACAGTAGAATTATTTCATTTAGATGTATGATCAGTGCAAAATTATATTCATGTAATAGATACAAAACTAGGAAGTGAACGTTCTGTAGCGGTTGCGATGGCATGTCTTTACCTAGTGAGCTTACACAAATAGTCATGTCAATGCCACAAGCAAAAACTAGAAGCGCTTAACGATTTGCTGCAGCCATTTTTTTTTTTTTTTCCTTTTTGACTGGGCTTGCTCAAATACCGAGGCAGTCATTTGTTTATACTGGTTACAGTTTTGTATTACAGTCCAGTTCAGTTTTACGTTTCCGGAGAACACGACTTATTGTACAGTTTGCAGGGGTCAGTGGAAAATGCCAAAAAGCACAACAGGTCTTTTTTTTTTTTTTTTTGGTGATGCTTCGTTTCTACATTAAACAACAGTACAACCAGAAACTGATTCCTTTATATTATTTAAAAAGCAGAGGTCAGCTGTAAAGATCCTGTAATAATGCCTATCTCACTAGCTTGTCTTAATTTTTCTTCTGTTGGGGGGCTGCTTGGTTGTGTGGCTTTTTGGTTTGGGTGTTGGGTTTGGTGTTTATTTTGTTTTAACGTTGAGGTAATAGTCATTTGGAAGTCTGTGTAACATAGTGAACTAGAAGCAACTCACTGCTGTTACCTCAGTTCTTGCAGCGGCACAGACGGTGCTCCTATGGTCAGGATTGTCTGGTTTGGGTTTTCTCTCTTGCCCCCCCGCCCCTATTTTCAGGGGTTTGTAACTTGGCTGTGGAAGGTCAGCCCAAGCTGGGGCTCAGCAAGGGCAGTTCCTGCGGGGCTTGGACTGGATGTTGTGTGTGGGGTCTGGTTTTTGATTTGTTCATGAGGTTTGGGAACGGGGGGGAAGCTGCTTGTTGGTCTTCAAGACAGAGTGCAGAGAAGAAACAGACGTTTCAGACATGACTCTAAGCTTAGTGGCTCTTCCAAGAACTGGAATTTTACAGGCCAATAGTTCATATACTAGTGCCTTCAAGTGTATTTTTTGGGGGGAAAGGCTGAATAGTACGGACTGATTAGTGAATGCAGCTTTAATGATCACATACTTGGAATATCTTCATGTGAAAAGAAGTATTTGCATAAGAAACCCCTGTGGTATTAAGACTTAGACTGCAGGGTATCCTCAATGGCTGTTCAGCAAAAATCCGACTTAAAATTGTGCATGGATTTAAAAATCTAATTTATGGCAATTTTTGCTTATGACTGCTTTAGGTACAACAAACAAATGTGGCTGTCTATGAGGCAAAACCTTTTTACCCATATAGCAGGGTGCTGGTGAATTATACAGTTCCTACTAATTTTTTTCTTAAGTCCTATTGAAACTAGTTAAAATTCAACCCATATGTAATACTAGTGTCAGAGGTTAGGCAGGGGAGGCAGGCTTAAAATTGTCCTGCAGGAGCCGTGTGATTTCTGTACTGCAGAAGTGTTCAAAGGCTTCAAACTGGGTACGTGGATTTATACTTCCGTTGTCTGGAGACCATTTACGTGCTCAGGGTTCCCAGTCTTGGGTCTCCCATTTCCAGCTCTTGACTGAGGAAACCCAAAGATCCCAAGGTTTTGTGTTTGGGATGATGTGACTGAGAGCGTTGACAGTGTCTGCACGAACCACTGCTGTTCGTTCGGCTCTGGTTCATGTACGTGTTCCGTGGTTTGCCTTCAGGTTAGGGCAGCCAGGAGAGCTCCAGCATGGGGCAGGTCAGGGAGGTGTTACGCTTCTGTCTGGTAACCAAACGCCTTCATTCAATGTCTTTAATCGGTAGCTTTATTCTCAAGTCTCGCTGGGCAGATGTACTGTTCTTTCTTTCTAAAGCTACTTCACCAGCATGTTACATACTTTGGTGCATTGGCTTGTCTGGAAGGGATTGAGGTCCTAAAAGTCACCCAGAATTCTCTTTGATAATGGACTTTGGCCGAGAGTAGCTGCCGGGGTCCTCGCAGGCCTACCAGCGCGCTTTTCGTGCGACTGAACTGAATCCTCTTGAGTTGAACTTCCCCTTGTAGCACCTCCACAACCCCAGTCATGCCAAGGCACGTGTGTTCTGGAGAAGGGTGGCTGTGGCTGACCGCTCGAGTTGTTGAAGCGCAGGAGGTTTGCTGACCAACGTTGCAGCTGCCTACAAAATGCTCACTTGCCCACTCTGCATGCTGTAGCTTGGAACCTTCACCCACGCTGTCCTTGCTGCAGATGTGATGCTTGTTCTCCACATAATAACATAGAACTGACCTTCCTAGTTTGGGGTTCTGTCTCCTGAATTTGAGTTCTCAGAAGACGTCTCTGTTGGCGTCAGGAGACTATTTGGACTGTCGTGGTGTTAGTCGTTAATTACTGTTACTGTCTCTGCTGTTACAGTTTGCTGTTTGATATTTTTGAGGAAGTAGGAGCCCAGGTGGATGACTGCAGAGGAAGGTCAGTGACTTGTCCCTCCATGCCCGTGTGGGTGCGGTAGATCTTGTAGGATTACTGCAATGTTCCATGACTTCTGTGCCGGGCAGAGCTCAGGGAGCGGAGGCTGTAGCCCCCTACGTTCTCAACACCGTGCAGTTTCCCAGTGCAGAACTTGCCAACGCGAACCCTGCACCTCCCTCCCCTCGGAGGCAGAGCTGGGGAGTTCCCCCCTGCACAAGTTTCCCACACACATCTGCACGTAGGTCCTGGGGACGGGGCTGTACGTTCGCCTGGCACTTGGGAGAGCTCGGGGCCCTGGGACTCGGGCAGCCCGCTGTGAAACGCTAGATGAAGCGAAGGAGTTATTGGCGTTTGGTGGGGCCATTCGGTGCTGGCAGAAAAGGGGGAGAGCTGTGAGTGGAAATCCAGCAAAACTCCACATCTTCTGGGTTTTTCTTGAAGGTAAGTCATTTAATGACAGCGGAGTGGTTGGATGCAAGCAGTGAGGACAGGTGTCACTTTGAGGACAACTATTTTAACTATTGTTTAAATTAAACCCTTAATAATTTTCGGCATGATGTTGGGATCAGTAATTTGTATCTCCTGTTTTATGCGAACATAAAGAGAGGGGGGAAGATGATGTCGGGATTCCTCTGCTGCTCTTGGGACTGGAGCTATTCTGGGTAACCCCTTACGGGAGGGGGAAAGGACACGAAGCTTTTAAGAGCTGACAGGAGGGGAAAGTTGCGGAAAGATACTGGAAAATAAATACATTCCTCAGCTGCTTGAAGTAAAGCAACTAGTGACTGTTTAGCCCCAAACAGTTGTTTGGTCACTTCGATGGCGTGAAGTTAATGACAACGGGCGAGTGTCTGCTGCGGTGTCCTCTTCTTCAGGCCTGCTCTGCCCCGTATTGATACCTGTTGTTTGAGACTTTTTTTTTTGCACACAGTTTTTGTTAACAAAATTTTTGAAGGGTTTTTGTTATTGAATTCTAGTGTTTTAGGACAATGATGTTCTTTTGTAACTTTAAAAATGAAGTTTTTTTCTTTCCATGTGCTGCCGTCTGAAATTTGCGAAAGGTGCCATTGCACTGCTGCTCCTGGTACAGAAAATGCACATTTACCTTCAGTTCCTCTTTATAGTCGTACGTGTCGGTAGAGTACAGCAGGGACAACGCGTTGTGCCTAAAACATGATTGAAGCCGTTGACAAAAACTTTACTTGATTGACGCAGAGCGGGTGGGACTGCACAGGCCAGTGGCAGTTGGGGGGGGAGACTTGCAGTTCTTGGTCCTTACACGGAGGTCCTCCCCTCTGCTGCCTGTGCAGAAACATCACTTTATGTAAAGGTGGTGGTTTTCCCTTTTTTCTTGATGTTTTGTAAGAAGAAAGTTCCTCACCAAATGTTGGTTGCACATCTGACTCGTTTTGTGGTGGGTGTTTCCGTGCGCAACACGACCAGCCTGTCGCACGTTGTGTTTCTTGGCCTCGCGAGGATCTCGTTTACCCAGAAATAAACTAAAAGGAAAAATTGGCAGCACTGGTAACGCTTTTGTCCCGAAATCTCAGGAATGTTTTAGGCAGTGAAACCGGTTTCCCTTGGTGATACAAAGGTGCGTGCTCTAGGGTCTTGTTTAACTATTTCATGGCAATCCTAGGTATCTATAGCATGAGTGGCCTTAGTGAGTTTGTTGAAGTGCACATTTTTTTTTTAAAAGTAAATTTTAAGAAGAAAAAGATATATACTATATAAATATATAGAGATATTTAGAAACTTGGTTTGTGGTGCACAAGTTCAGTGTTGGATCGCTAAATAATTGTCGCAGGTACCATATGTGTAACTTCTTTCTTTTATGTATGTTCCTTTATGGGAAGCGATGTTGCCATGGTAACTACAACTTTACAATTTCTTTACTACTTAATGATGTGAATGAACTCTACATTTTATTGAATATTACCAGGTTCAGTACTATTTTTATACTTTATTGAACTACAGGGGATTTTAATTTAATAGCATTTTAAAAAAAAAGATGTTGCTTGAACTGTATAACTGTATAAATCGAACTACTTCGACAAAGCCCACCTCTAAACCAGAATCTCTACCTGTAGTGCCACATTCATTTGTGTGAGAGTACCTTGGTCTTCGCTAGGCTTTGAAGACCACCCTCCCTGTCGTGTCAAGACTTAACGTTCCGTACCCTACTTCTCACAGACTGCAGTGCCCGACATTATTTGTAACCATCGTCCCATACTATGTTTGTAACCAGCATTGTGATATTCTGTAACTGTATTGCTAAAACGAAATATTGACCTAATAAATAGAGTGTTCCTGCATTTTGAAGTATCTGCATTGAATTCGGTTTAAACTTTGCTCTCGACAAATGCCGCCCTCTTGCTCCCCCACACCCCCGCCTTGCTGTCACGGGTGTGAAAGCGGGTGTTGGGCCGCATCTGGTTTTTACCAGCAAGTCCGAGCGCGGCTGGAAGTTGAGCTGACCTGAGGCTGGCTTGCAGCGGGTCTGCCCTCGTCGTTTCCTCTCAGCTGTTTTGCCCAGGTTGCCTCTCCTCAGGTGAGTGCAGCCCCGGTGTGCGTCCCGCTGGCTCCTTGGAGGGGGAAGAGAGCGGCACACGCGCCCCTCGGAGCGAGTTAGCCCCCTGTGCTGTCAGCTGCACCTCCTCGCTGCACCGCACTCCCCCGGGATGCGAGGACAGGCTGTATGGCTGTTGGTTTAATTAACTAACCATAGGGAGAGCAGGTCATGCCGTCAGTCTGGTTTATTCAGATAATTTCAAAACCAGGGTGAATGTTGGCTGGAGAACTTCCGATACCATCATTGCTGCCATTCTCACTGGACGAAGCCGCGCAAGACTGGCTGATTGTCCTTGAGCAAGATACTTGGTTTCCATAAATCTCTGGTCATGCAGCTTTGGGGTGCTTCCATGGTAGCTGTCCGCTTTGCATTGTGTTTGATGCTCTTTACTGTATGTTGGGCTGTAACTGAGGTTGCTTTTTCACCCAGGATCTGCTGATGCTCCAGCAGTTCCAGGGGTACCACAGGGCACAATGTGGAGGTGTTGGTACCAGCCTCCACAGGCAAATGGTTTTAGATGGTGGTTGGGAGCTGCGGCAGTGACTGACTGGGCCTGTTGGGTGCCTGGGAAGTGTGAACAACAAGAGGGTGGGAGCCTTCGTTCGCTGTCAAACATGGATCCTTCCCTGCTTGTTGGTCTCTTCTCCCCTTAAAGTAGCAAGGGGCACACAAAGGCATCTCCTGTGTGTGCCTGCACGCGGGGAGGGTTGGAAATCAGCATTTCTAGGAGCTTTTACTTTTAAACTATCAGGTTTCCGAGTCATTTGAGGTTGTATTCCATTTGCCTGTAAATGACCTGTAACCCCCCTCCAGTTGTGCGCTGGGCTCAGGCAGAGGGCTCTCCCCATTTCACAGGTCTGCGATTTCGATTTTCAAAGGAAAAATGCCTTCAAAGACAGCTGGTAGGAGGCCGAGTGCAAGTGAAGGGTGCTGCACCCTGAAGAACGCAGGTAAGGTCCTGTTCACCCCTTGAAAAAATGAGGATGACTCCAGAGGTGGTGATGCTGGCGTCCTCAGGGCTGTAGCAGTGCCCTTTGTGGTTGTGGAGCCTGATATGCCCTATCCATGCAAATTTAAATGGGTGAAAGATGTGAGTCCCCAGGTCTCTGCATGTGTTCCTGCAACTTTCTCAATTCTTTCCCTTTTCCCCAGGGAAACATTGACATCTAGGGAGTGCTGAAGCCAAACTACCAAGCACAAACCAATAATGGGAGATTCAGTAAAAAAATCTCTTTCCTTCAGCTGGTGTGAAGGATGGATTAACAACAGCAACCCAAAAACTGCTCCTAGGGGTAACCTGGTGTTGAAAACAGAGGGATGGGGCCGTACTGCTGATTTTTGGGGAGTTAACAAGCTGAGTAAAAGCTGCCCCCCCCCCCCCCCACCGCAGTGACTTTCTGCCCCTGGTTAGTCTGAGCAAAGTCCAAAACCCTGACATGAGCGAGGATCATGCTCTTCCTCGTGCTGATGAAATGTAACCACGACGCCCCTAAAACTGGCCTAAGGCGAGGTGCCTGGGGGTGGCTGGTTTGTTTCTGGGTGGTTTGGCTGGGTTTATTTAAGTGTTAAGAGAAATGCTCCCTTGGACTTGGTGGACTTTCTGAAGCACGGGGAGCTCTTTCTGGCTGGCAGAACATCTAGTGCATCTTGGCTGCCATGAGGCGTCACTGCTGCGGGGCCGTGGGCAGCACAAGATCTGTGTGTTCCTGATGTCTCTTGTTTCCTACTGAACCAGGTTTCTCCTTCTGATGGCACGAAATGGGTGTTTGCTGTCCTGAACTGAACAGTCAACAGCGGCCTCTGCTTGCACCTCTTCAGGTTGTGGGTTGGAGGGGGGAGATGGGATTTTGTGTCGTCTTTGCTTTTTTCTTCATCTTTTCTACGTTACACATTGACACTGTATAAAATGCATGAAAATCTCACTTTCCTTAAGAGCCGAAGCCAAGGTTGTGCAACATTTCCGTGAATTCCCTGGTGCTCCATTTAAATGGAAAAGAGCGAACAGCCCGAGTTGGGAAATGCGCCTTGAGCACTACAAGCCGCCTGGTTGTGCAAGGCCGCTGTGGTGGCACCGCTGCCCGCCAGCCTCCAGAACTAAGCAGCAGGAAAAAGCAATCCCTGCGTTACTGTGCGAGCAGCACGGTGTGTCCCATAGGTTATACGGAAGGTTTTCTCATTGTACATTTAGAGCAGGGACCTCCAAAGGTGAAATGTTTTCTCCTTGGCCAAGTCATCTGGTCAGGAAATCTCTGGGGTTATTTCTGGCAGAGCTTGGTTTTCCTTGAGAGCTTTCCTGTAGCTTCTAAGTCGCCTCATGTCCTACTGGAAAAATGGTAGAATAATTCAAGTCTTGAGCAGGCTTTAATCTTGCTTAGTTCTGTCTTACACAGGTGTAACATTTTGAGGGCATATGGCGTCTTTCTGATGCAGCTACGTGTGCTACTGCATTTGTTTCGTAGTGTGTGCGCTGTGGAGAAAGTTCAATCCCTTTAGCCGAAAGAAATATTCTGTTACTTTAAGAAAATTCCTCATGTTCTGCTCTGAACCAGGTCTGCACCACCCAAGTGTCTGCTCTTGGGCACGATGAAACGTGATATGGGAAGCCCTATCTGTTGCCCGGTGAAGGCAACACGCGACATCCTCCTTCACAGCCTCTCACCAACGGGGTTTCTGTCTGTGCTGGGCAGCAGTGCCTGCACGGGCAGGGAGCTCAGCCTCCCACCAAGGTTGGTGGATGTGATCCAAGATACCGTTTAGAAAGGAAATCTGTTGTCTTGATGCTAAAAATGGCCTGTGTTATCTGCCTTTCTGAAGGGATCTATCTAGGAGGGATTTTTCTTGCTTGGATTCAGATCTGAAGACCATAACTGAGCCCCCTACCCAACTGTCTGATTTTTAGCATGTAGGAGAGAAGGACCTTTGGGGTTTATTTTACTGGTCAGACTAAGATTTCCGTGCCAAGCTATTGATGTTTCTGACATTTTCTTAAAACCTGGATTCCACCATAAATCAGATCTAGCCAACCATAAAGCCTGAACCAGCTGGTTTTGTTACTATTTGCTCTTCTCACTACTCCTGACCTGAAGTGTTAGCTCTCAGTTGAGTCTTTTCGTGCCACAGCAGTCGGACAGGGCTACAGCCATCTTGGTCTGGATCAATGGATGTCAGCTGCTGCACCTGCCAAGAACCAGATGGGTGTACGGGCTCATGGCGATTGTTTGCCTAGAACAGTTGGAAATGGCAAGCCTATGCATAAAAGTTGTGAAGCTTGGGGTTTGTTGGTTGTTTGGGTTTTTTTTTTACCAGAATATTTTCTATACACCAGTCTCTTCCCTTCCTATTTTCTTCCCCCCTCCCCAGTCGATACGGCTGCTGACCATGTGGAGGGTTTGCCTGTGTGGGTGCATATGTTGTGGTAGAAACGAACGGGGAACAGCCTGCTCACGTCAGAAGAGGGTTTCTGCCATAGGAAGGGAAGGAGCAGCTGCCTGCCTCCTCACAAACACTGAGGTTTACTGGGGTTTGTACAAAAAGAATGAGGTAGTAAAGGTAGGTCTGGTACTTACACATGCTTGATCAGTTCTTGATGCTGGTGCACAGCTGTTGGGAAACTCCAGGATAGGAATAAATAAGATCACATGGTTTAAAATAACATAGGTTTTACTTTCCTTGGGTAGAAGCTTGTTGCTATGACGCTGCAAGTATTTCAGTATTTTGTGGTTTTGGGAAACCATGGAGATCGTCTTTATTCCTTGCTTTTTGTTCAGGTCGTGATACTGTTATTAATTGATTTCTGTTGACCTCCGAAGTTGTCTGGGAACCTTAAAAACAAGAAAAACACAGAGTGAATGGAAGGCATAACTCCTCTGAGAAGCTCTGTCTCTTACAGGAGCTGATAGTGACGTGCCCAAACTGTCCTCTGGGGTTTTACTGGGTGGGTTCTGCACATGGTTCCATCCCACAAATACTTTGTCACCAGAGACACACAGGAACACCGGGCTCGCCACCCAGGCTCTCGAGCAACCTGCAATCCCAAACCCTTGCTGTGTTCATTACGTTTCAGTTGCACTATTTTTTTAGTATTTCATGTACTTTGTGTCTCTGGTGCATTTGTCTACGTAAGAGTTGGTTGGCTGGTGTCTTCCCCACTCTTACGGGGGAGTAGACAAGCAGAGGAGGATCGCCTGGAGCCACACAGCCGACAGGTTAGTGTGGGACTCCTACTCAGCCTCCCAGATCACGCCGTCTAGCTGGCTCTTGTTTTTTGACTTTTAGTTTATCAATTTGGATTTTAAGTGCTCCCTCAGCGCTGTTACATACCAGATTGGACTTTTTTAGAGGTAAATAGACAGACTGGGGAGAAAAGAGATGAAGAGCAAGATGGTTATGTGTGCATGAGAACTCCCACAGGACATGTGATTGCATTTTAGCAGCTTGAAAATAGGCTTATGTGGGACAAATCCTCCTTCCACAGGCAGACTGCGGCACCTGTTTGTGGCAAAGCCGATCTCGTCAGCAATCGCTTGTCGTGTCTGTTTTTCCTCCTTCGGGGTTTGCGTATGCCGCCGTTCTGGCTGGACCAAACAGGCTGCCAGTGACTGGTTTGCAAACACGCCTGCTACAGGTCGGTCTGCATTTTTGCTCCAGAAGACAAGCGTGTGTGGCTTTGCCAGGCTGGGCCCAAAGGCAAACCACAACTATGTTTTGAGCATCCAGATTGCCGTGTAAAGACACACTAATTAATGCCAACAGATGTGGGCCAACAAAAGGATGTCTTCTCCTTCCTTACTGCTGCCATATGCTGTATTAGGTTCTCTTGCTGCTGCTTTTCCTCCTCCCATGTCTCTTCCAAGACAGCAGTTCAACCTGCCCGACTCCTCTGGCTCCACCACTGATCATGTCTTCACCTGCTGATCCTTTGGCAAAAATGCCACGTGTAGGTGGCTCTACCTGAGCAGGAAAATACTTTTCCTGCTTGGTGCCACTATGACAGTGGCTGTGTGAGTACCTCTCACCTGTCATTCTTGCTGCTGGGTGGTGACTTCATGGGTGTGTTGGTGATGATGGTTGCTTTGACCCGGGTGTTCCTGCAGGTCTGTTTTACCTCTGTGGATACCCCAACTGATGTCAAGTTGCTTCAGTTTCTTATCTTCGAGTCCTGGAACTGAATCTGGCTCTTCTGAAGGACAGCATAACTTCTTTAAAAACAAACAAACAAAAACCCAAACATTTTTAAAGATACTTATGTGAGCAAACCCCGCACACTGACTCATGCTTGGGCAATACCTCTTGCTTAACCATGGTCCTGTTGGGTGGCAGCAGAAATGACCTGAGGGGTGACTACGCTGTCTGCCCAAATTCTTGCCCTGCAAAAAGTGTTTGTTCCTCGCAGCTGCGCTCCCCCCCAGCAGTGTGTCCTGCTGGCCTCGGTGAAGCTGTTTTCTGCACGCTCTCTCGCCCTGCGCTGACGCCCCGCTCAGCTGGCTGTGCAGCCTGGCTCCCCCAAGCCCACCCTACGCACCTAAAAATCTGTGTTTTGACACGAGAGCCCTTCTCAGTGCCCTGGTGTGAGGACCATCAGTTTTCAGGCACGCTGGGGAGATGGTCAGTCGCTGACGGTGCCGTTTTGTGGCTGCATTTGAACCAAGGCCCACGCGCGTGTGATGGGAGGTGGGTGCTGCTGGGCCCCACTGCTGTGGAGAGAAGGGGTGTGGTGTGTGTGCTGTGGGCGGGTGTGCGCTGCCACTGGATGTCACTGTCGCTTTGTGGCACGCTGTGCACGGGGAGGACAGCCAGGGGTGGCCATGGGTCCCCTGGACATCCTAAGTGTGGTGGGATGGTACCAGCAAGCTGGATGGAGAGCGGCCGCCCGTGCTGGGCATCCTCCTAGGCAATCCCGGGGGAAAAGGATGTTTGTGTTGCCAGTGGTCACGCTGTCTGACCCTTCTAGAGCCCCAGATAGCCCACAAGACTTATTGCTTTACTCTCAGACTGAGACGTCGGGCTGGTTTTTACAGCTTTCAGCAGTGCATGAGAGCCAGTGGATTGCAAAGGAAAATGTTCTGTCTCTAAGCTGGGAAGTGGGTCTGGTCTGGTATTTTAAGTAAAGCTAAAAACAGAGAGTTAGGACCACTGTTTAAATTCAGATGTGGTTGGTTTTGTTTGTTTGTTTAACTAAAAAAAAAAAAAAAAAAGCCTAAAAGCGCAAATGTAGGGGACACAGCTCCCTGGTTCTACGCGAGCAAGGCTAGCAGACGGCTGCTCCCTAGCCTCTCTCCTTTAACAAAACTCACAAAATCATCAAATTACCATGCTGACAACCTCAATCGCTTACTAATTGCATATTGATTCTGTATTTTTATGCTTACTCATCTAAATAATGAGACGTTTCCAAATAATCTATTTCTGTTGCGCGGAATGCGCCGGTCCCCCCCCGCCCCCCGGATCCGCAGCCTGTTGTTTATGCTCTAGCAGGGAGCCGACTGCTGTTCCCTTCCCACAAAGGGCAAAGATGCTTCTTTTTCTCCCACTTGTCTTGCATAACAAAAGGCATTTGTCAACCGTTACATAACGGCAGAATTTGTCGCTGCTTCTGTCGGCCTTTTTGGAAGCAGCCTCGTCCCCAGCACCGCGTAGCTGGCGGGCTCTTGCTGGCTGCAGGTTGGTGCACGCTCCTCAGCATGCGTCGGTGCATCCCAACAGCGCACGACGCAGTGTGACTAATGCTTGTCACCCACTGCTCCGTTTTTGCACCCCCTTCCCCCTTTTTTTTTTTTAATTCTTTTTCCTTCCTCCTTGGGAAGGAAGATGTGGAGTTGTGTGTTTTGGTAGTGGTTTTTATTTAGGGGAGCAAAAGGATGGGAAGGTGTTTTGGGGCATTATTTGCTTTTTAATACTCATTCCGAGGTGGCAACGGGGAGCTACCCTCAGCCACATGCCCTGCGGGAGCAGCAGGGCTTGTCCTTAGCTGAGGTCGTGTCCTGGGCTTGGCCGAGCCTCTGAGAAGGGCCGTGCTGGAAATGGAGCTCCATTTCCCTCTCCACAGCGCTCACGAGTTTAAGGGAGCAAGAATGCCTGTGGCTGCCTGCTCTCGGAGATGCCAGTTGCCTTTTTAATATCTCCCAATTAATCTCGGGTGTCTCACACCAGCAACAGGAATTTGTGTTTGGGGTTTTTTTTTTCCTTATGGTAGGTTTGATCTCCTTATTATTGGAATACCTTTTTAGAGCCTTAAAAAAAAAGAAAAAATAGTTTTGCTTTCCCGTAAACTAAAAGGAAGAGCTGCATGGCCAGCTTCTCCCTTTCTCTCTAACTGGAGGAGAGAGCTGTTTACCTGGGGCCTCAAACTTATTTATGGCCTTATCACTGCCAGCTATCAGATGACCACAGCTCCCCTTTTAACGCGATGCAAGCAGTGTCCCAGTAACCCAACGAGGTCTTGCCTGCTGCCGTTTTCTAATTGTCTCAAAACAATTTCCTAGTTGACTTTTTTTTTTTTAATTTTAGATCTGGTTTTGATTATTTTTTAATAAACTTTTCAAAGTATGTGTTTCTTGTGGACCTTTGAACTTCCTGGTGTACTAGGCCTTTGCTCAGGAGATATGTTTATGGCTGGCTATGAGTGTGCTTAAATGGGTTAACCCTTTGCAGTCGGTGTTCTTGAGGAAACTGTTTGTTATAGTTTCCTTGTCTGGCTGATGCTCAGACACAGAAATCAGCTTTGGCAAACATAGGCCTTACCTGAACTAGTTGCTTGTTTCAAAGTTTAACTCCTATATCATCAGATAGAACTACAGATCAGATTTGGTCTGCAAAGCATGACTGGAAACATGGGATCAGCAAACAGCTCCAAAAATTTGTAAACCACGGTGCTGGGGACACCAGCTCAGCTTCCCAGAGCTAGCCAGGGAAAGCTGCTGGTGACTGCAATAGCTCAGTGCCCATGTTATGGTAGGAACTGGCAATATCTGCAGGATTCAGGGCCTTCTGATAAACAGACTTGTCGGTAGCAGGTTTCTCCTTTGACATGGATCAGCCTGTGTAAGCTGCACGGTGTAGTTATACCCTTAAAGTGAGTCCAACAGGAACACCGTACGGGATATTGACTTTCCTGTTTGCTTACCAGAAATTTCTCCATGCGGTTGTTCTTGATGTACTTGTACAGCTTCTGCAGTTGCTTTGCATCCATCTCTGAGAAGAGGGAGACGAACTGCCAGAACATCCTTGGGAAAAGACAGACACACGGATCACGTATGTGAGTACCAACTTCATCCTCTTCCTCGTTCTGCTCCCTAGGGCTGGCTTGGTGTGTGTAACCACTGACGTACCCTTTGCACAGCTCTTTTTCTGCCCCCCCCCCCTTTTTTTTTCCTTTCCAAAACTTAAAAACTTTTAAAGAACTGCTCTTCCCTAAGCATGAGAAGGATTACCCATTAACTCGGGTGGCCACATAGGAGCCCTTTACTTGCAAAGGGACGTTGCTGATGGCAGCACATCAAAACTAGCCTTGCGCTGGGCAGGACTAGTGCCACCCAGCCTCTGCTAAAATTACCTGCAAAACCTGTGAGCATTCAGTAGTTAGAGCAAGCTATGCAGGTTTCTTGTTGACACCCAACCTCATTTCCAGTGCCTGGAAACACAGGGCCAAAGTGGGTGTCTAAATGTCTGCTGGGAGCCGCAGGGGCAGGAGCCCCTCATGCTGGGAGCATTGCCAGTGCAGTACCACTGGTGCCAGCGAAGAGGAGACCCTTACTTCTGCCAGTGCTGGACTTCCCAGGCTTTGCAGTACTGCTGGAGAAACAGATTGATGCGGTCCCCGATGATGGTCAAACTTTCCTTCATGTCCTTCACTTTTTTCTCTGTGGGGAGGTGCTGGGGCAAATGCAGCCTCCTGAGTGACTTCTTATAGGGTCTCAGTAACTCCTTGCACTGTAAAAGAAAGTGTCAGCATAGGTATTCAGCACTTTAAATCCAGGTCTTGGGTGTTCCTTTTCACTAAATAAATTGATTAAATAGCTGGCTGGGGAAGCCCTGAAGGACCATTGTGTTTTGGTGAGTGTCTTTGGGTGGACACAGGGGCGCTGACGTGGTAGGACCTCTGTCAGGCGCTCCCAGTGCTCTGCAGGAGTTGCTCCTGCACGTCCCAAGGTTGGTGACACCCCAGGCAAAGCATGTTGAAGGTGACTTGAAAAGGGAATTGAGGGATTTCCAAGACTGGGAATCCCTCTTTAAGGAATTAGGGTGAAAGGTATATATTTCAGGCTACAGAAGAGCTGCTGTTCTGCAGGGATGGGGAAAGGGAACTGCTTTACTGCTTTTCTCACACTGCTGCTTCCTGTGGCCAAACCTGGGATGTGTTGCAAACATTTGCATGTGACGTAGGAGCAAACGCTGCATCTGGATGCCCTCCTTCTGTCCATCTTTTTGTCTGTTACGTGTGCTGGGCCGTGACTGGGGTTATGTGTGGTTGTGCCATGGTGCACCAGGAACAGGAAGGTTGTGTCCCGGTGTGAGATGGAGCTTTGTGGCTGCAGTGCAGGTGATGCAAAAGAACCAAACCACCATAGCCAGGGAGCACATGGCGTCATGTAAGGTGATAATGTAGCAGTACTTGTTTTGGAATGTGAAATGTGATTATTTTGCTGTTGTTTTGGGCTTTTTTTGTGGGTTGGTTTGTTTGTTTGTTTGTTTTTTAAACCAAAAGTGTGATGTCCAGATGACTGGAAAACAATGATGAGGTAAAAACTTTCAGATATGGAAGAAAGCTACAGAACAAAGTGTCTTGTCCTGCTTTTTTGCTCCCTCTGCCAAACTCCTGGGTTTTATTTGCTCCCTCACTCTCTCTCTTGAACCCGAGATGCTACTGACTTTTTCTACTCCTAAATTCTATTCAGTATCTCACAATTTTAAAGGTGTCCTCATCAAGGTCGTCTGCGCAGCAGATGAGCGGGGTCTTGCATGGTGGAGCACTCTCACTGCCTGTTACAAAGGCTGCTTTCTTCGCTGTGCCAGCTAGATCCTTCTCTGTGGTCTACAAATTGCCAAAGCCATAGGTTAGTCTTCCAGTTCATGTAAATCTTGCATCTTCGCTTTAAAAAACTGCCAAGGACAAACCCTCTCCTAAGGCTCAGAAACATTTTTCTTCCTGCCAAATCACTTCAGATTGGGATTTCAAAGGTGCTTAATGAAGCTAGGTATTCAATTATAATTAAAAGTCCGTAAGAATTAGGTGCCTACTCGAAGTCTCTTTTGGAAACTGTACCTCTAATAAGTTACAAGGTAAACAATGGCCACTCGTTCCTAATGGCATTAATCAAATATGGGCTGGCAGCCACTTGTTAAGTGGAAATACGTGGTTACAATGGGCTCATTGTAATGCCATGCTGCTCCATCCGCAGCTTTTATTGATGGCAAAGGTACCGTGGCTGACCTGCTGCAAAGCCGGACTGAAAACAAACCAAAATCCTCAGCCACTGAACTTATGCCTCCCTGGTCCAAGGAGGGGGATATTTTCCCTTGCAAAGGGCAATGGCTGTTTTCCCTGTGTCAACATTTGTGTAGGCAACTCCTCCACTCATCTTTTGGAAAGAAACACTTACATAACTGACTTAAACACAAACTCATGTTGCCTTTTAAAGATGCTGAAGTGTGTAGGAAGAGAAGTCCTTTTCTCTCTGACATGTCTGCTCCCTTGGAAGATTCCTTCTCTGCAAGTTTGATCCCAAACCACATTTCAGAGGTGAAACTGAAGCTGGACTCTGCTTTGCTCTTGCTGTGTGCTGATCTCCCTGCTCGTGCTCACCTGGCTGGCTGTGCTGTCCCCACTGCTGTCCCTTGCCCCGGCTCTGTCCACTTCATCCTTAAAGCCAATCTCCTCCATGGGACACAGACGCCCCTCTCCCTTCCCTGGGGCCTTGCTTGTGCCAGGTAGGAAGGGAAAACTGCCACAGAACTGTTTGGGCCAAAACATGCTGGGGTGACTAAGGTGACTGGGGTGCCTGGATACCAGTTCCGAGTTCTGCCAACCATGGAGACTGCTGGGGCCCTCCAGCCCCACAACACTGCGTCCCTCTGGGGCAGAGTCACCCCTACCCATTGGTTTTATTTGTGGTCCTAAAGACAGAAAACCCTGGATTTTCCCCATGCTGGTGGTGGTCGGGATGTTCAATGCTGGAATAGCTCCTGTGGGCAATGGGAGGGAAAGGACCCTTGCTTGTCTTTGCATCTGTGGGAGCTTGGTGGCGTCTCTGGGGCTCTTGGTTGGTGCTAGGTGTGCACCTGCAGCAAGTCCAGCACCTGTAACTGTGCATCAGTCCAGATTATTTTGGCCTCTGAAGGTGGTGCAAAGAGCAGCTCCTTGAGTCACGTGCGTGGCTGTGTGCGCCGCGTTGGCTATCTGCGAGTGTGGGATTGCTCTTGGCATGAGCAATCACAATTTTACTCTATAGCTTGTGCACCAGCAGGTTCAAGACGGGCTTTTCTCCAACCCTTCCACTGCACCTGCTGAGCTGTGCTGCGGGGAAGCACTGGCCCTGAGGCAGGGGTGAGACAGCCTGGCTTACGTGAGGCTGGGGATGATCTCTGTAACGGAGGCAGTCCTATTTGATGGGGAACAGGGGTGCAACCAGGAAAAGGGACCTTGGGCTGCACTCTAGGTGTTTTTCAGGGAGCTGGCTCAGTTCTCATCACAGTGTAATGGAAATTCAGGGTTACCTCCTTCACAGATGGTGGTGAAAGCCAAATGCAGTGAGATCTCACTCTCCTGGGTAACATCTCTTTTAAAGCTCTCTTTTTTAGAAAGAAGAAATTGTACTTGCCAGGAAGAAGTCTGGAAAGGCTTGGAGTTAAAGGGACTTTGTTTCGGAAATTTACTTCAAGGCAAAATGCTTTCACAAAGAAAAATGTGTCAGGCTCCTGTCATGCCCTGACCAGTCAGACAAGTGCAATTGTTTTGTCCCTTGGACGATTAGTGTAATTGCTGCAGCTGTGATTCAGCCGCGCTCCTGTGCCAGGTCGCTTCTGGCACGAGGAGTCATCTCAAGGGCGGTACAAAGGCCCCCTCTCTCAGGTCCCCCTGGTGTGGCTATGCGGAAGGACCAGCACTGCTCTTGGCAGAAGTTTGGATGCTTTTGATGAAGCATCTCTCTGTGCAGCCGGTGATGCTGAGTACTTGCTGAGTCAAATGCCTGGTGCAGGTAGCAACCTCGGGAAAGTATCTATCGATGAGTCTTGAAACAGAGACAGGTTCTTGTTTTCATGCTGTCTTAGGGAGGTTAGGCCTTTACCCATGATTGAATTCAATAATGATAAAAATCCATTAAGACAAGTCCTCCCCTTAAGATGTTTGTGGTGTTTTTCCCTCCTGTGTCTGCTTTCTTCCTCCCCCACGTCTGAAATTTTGCTGCCAGCTCTCTGACGCAGGTGCCTCGCGCAGGCTGGTGCTGAGCAGACACAAAGACAATTACCTTCTAATGCTCTGCAGTTAGGTTTGCTTTGCCCATCTGAGGTACGCTACAACTCATTTGACCTACACCAGGATTTTATGGTACATTATATGTTACTTAACACAAGGTAAGCTATGCAGAGCGAAGCAGTGGTGACAGCACATTGTACCTATGCTGCTTCAGCCTGGTTGGTGTGAGGACTACGTTAGAGGTGGTTTGGTTGAAGGGGATGCTGAAAATGCGGCTGTTTTCTCAATGCCTGTTACCAACAGCCCTCTTGCTGCGTTTGCTGCCTGCAATCATGACATCTGTCCCCAGTGTGGCAGGCAGCTGCTTTCCTTTTCACTCCCAAAGGTTTAAACCAAGAAGCTGCCAGCTTATGTCCTCGCCTCTCAAGTCAGGGCATCGCAGGTTGCGGGCTAACAGGAGCACAAGAGAAATTAAGCTACTTCAGCACAAGTTTTCACACGCATTAGCAGCTAGATTAGAAGCCATTTGGGAGCTCTAAGGACGTACGCCAGTTGTTAGCATAGGCATAACCCATATCTGCACGGCCGTATCTGTGTCCTTGCGAGATTACAGCTTCCATGGAGCATGTGACTACAGCATGGAGTGGCTCTCTTTGCTTGTGTGGACACTTCACTGTTTCAGAGGATGGAGAAGGCCTTGAGTTCCCCTTGAAGATCTCAGTCTCTGTTCTTCTGCTTTTCAGTGTACACCACGAATATACAAGCAGGAGGTATAGATGGGCTTCCCTGGCCAGCCTTCATCGGAGGATCTCGCTGTATTTAGGATTTGTCCATCAATCTGGTTTGCAGCGGAGCAGTGATCTTAGTAGTCTTCTCTGGCATTACTCAGTACAGTGGCAGAGCAGGAGACTAAACAGCTGAGGTTGCAAAATGCCTTTTTTTCCCCTCTGTTGAACTGTCCAGTAATGTTCAAAGCTATACTTTGACCAATGAAGCTACAAACCTTCCCCGTCTCTTGAATTTTTATTGGTAGCGCTGAGTCAGATTTTGGTTCGTTTTGTTTATCGTGTAAGGTCTTGTGAACGAGTCCACCCCCATGAGACCAAGCATGAGACATGCCTTTGAGTCCTCAGAAGTCTGTGGTTGTATCCCTTCCCCCTGCCTCTCTGGAAGACAACATTACTTTCTGCTTTGAAGCCTATCATGTCAGAAGATGGCATAGCTCAGACCACATCTATGTGAATCTATCCTATTACATTGCCTACTTAAGGGCAGGAGTCTTTTGAAACAGTGTTCTAATGGGATGGGGAAAAGCCAGGAGTACAAACAGATTATACATCTCATGTTTCTGCCTGTGAAGGGAATGCCAGTCAAGCGCACTGTACTGTAACAGTGTACCTTAGGGAAAACTTTTCCTTTTCCCATGACAGCTCTCTTGTGAATATTAATTTCTGCTATTTGACTGTCTTAGTCTTCCAGGAGCTGTGTAAGTGCAAACCTTAACCAACTTCCCTAGTACAGCACCTCTTCCTGTGAAAGAGTAGGCATGGAGCCAAAAAGGAAACAGTTGTGAAGATGCTGTTTATGCTGCTGTTTGTTATTTGCTGTTTCAGGCAGATTTAGCATGAATACCACGTGCGATGTGATGAGTCAGGTTGCACACAATATGTGCAGGCATCTGATGCAATATTTATTTACTGGTAGGTCACAGGGAAGGAGAGCTGATAAATGCAGCTAAATACACAGGTATTTTACATAATACTTAAACCAACTGCATGTACACATGGTTTAGTAAAACCTAAAAGACAAATATCATTGCTAGATGTATTGCAATGTCATACTAAATAGGGATTGTAATGAGGAATGTTTTTCAGTAACCTGTTCTTACCAGGAGGGTGGTGAATGTTTCATTTGATAGTGATTAATGATACTCAGCGCAACCGCTCAGGCCGTAGGGGTGGAGGCTTTGCTAATAGGATCTGGAAATTCCTTTCCTGGTGCTTAAGGATGATAAAAACTTTCACAGCCAACTGGTGATCTGTCTTCTCCCTGCAGTTGGATGCCAATAAACACAGCTGAAGTTGATAAATCTTGTATTAGGGGAAAAGATCTGAGAGAGAATTTGGGCCTAGTTATTGTTTCTATGTGGCATTATTAGAGGCATCTTAATATACCATAGGAGTCCCTTTTTGGTAAATGTTGGGAGTGGCTCATTTAATCACTTGTTTGAATTAATGTGGTAAAGAACCCAAACACGATTTGTGACCAGTGGTGTGTGGAAGCTATAAATACATCTGTATCTCTTACCACTTCTTGCAAAGTCTGATCAGGCGTGTTCCAGGTATTCCCATACTGGAAGACACAGCTAGGCAAATCTTCCACAGTGCCCAGAGCTTCTAATGCCTAACCTCGTGTGCTGGACACCTGTCTTCAGGTGTTCCTATATTATTTTATGCTTCAACAGTTTTGAAGATGTTTGTCTTCAGCTTTTCAGCCAGCTGTTAGTGAGCTTATTAATGCTGTTTGCTAATGTCACATAACTGGGTTTTTTTAAGCTGCTTGAAGTACCCAGGAACTGAAGAAGCATTATCACCTTCCTCCATACTTCACAACTTGCAGCCTGTAAGAAACAGGATAGTTAAAGGCTTTCCTTCTTATTGTGCTTCATAAGTTTTCAGATTTTTATGCAAATTGAAATAGGCATTGTTAATAAGATGTTAATAAGCCCATCCATTTGGTGGTGCTTATAAAATCAAATCTATAACAAGTTGGTTACCTCTTAATATTGAAAATAATTTAATTTCTTTTGTTAATCTTTTGGATCATGTAATATGAACTGCCCTAGGTGATATCTGCCTTGTTTGCTTCCCCTCCCTAACAAATTTACCCACCGTCTTAGCAATGACGCAGAGAAGCCTAGAAAATGATGGGACTGGTACACCTGTGCCACAAGGCCAGCTCTGCCTGGGGACCGTGGCAGGAGGTTGCATGGGATTAGCAAGATGTGCAGAGAGGTGCCAAATGTAGAAGCCAAATAGGAGCCCACAGTATAGAGGCAGGGAGCAAATAAAAAAGAAATGAGGGAGAGGTGGGAGAACTAAGCACTGCTTGGAGGGGAAGAGGGCTCGAAAAGTGACAGTAAGAGAGAAAGGTGGGCATAACCTGGTGGGAAACCCAGTTGCTCTGGGAGCCAGGG